GGATGGTGCTCAGCATCCTCAGGATGGATGGTTCTCAGCACCTTCAGCTGCATCCCTGAGGGTGGTCCGTGGTGCTCAGCATCCCTTCTAGATGCACACGCTGCACGGTCCATGGTGCTCAGCACCCTTCTAGATGCACCCACTGCATGGTCCATGGTGCTCAGCATCCCTCGGGATGGTGCTCAGCATCCTCAGGATGGTGCTCAGCACCCTTTTAGATGAAACCTGAGGGTGTTCCATGGTTCTCAGCCCCTTCCAGCTCCACCCTGAGGACGGTCCATGGTGCCCAGGACCTTCTGCATGGTACTCAGCACCCATCCAGCTCCATCCCTGACAATGATGCTCAGCGCTCATCCAACTGCATCCCTGAGGATGGCCCACGGTGCTCAGCACCTTCTGGGTGGCATTCAGCACCCTTCTAGCTGCACCCCATGCCTGGTGCTCAGCACCCTCTGCATGGCGCTCAGCACCCATCCAGCTCCATCCCTGACAATGATGCTCAGCGCTCATCCAACTGCATCCCTGAGGATGGCCCACGGTGCTCAGCACCTTCTGGGTGGCATTCAGCACCCTTCTAGCTGCACCCCATGCCTGGTGCTCAGCACCCTCTGCATGGCGCTCAGCACCCATCCAGCTCCATCCCTGACAATGATGCTCAGCGCTCATCCAACTGCATCCCTGAGGATGGCCCACGGTGCTCAGCACCTTCTGGGTGGCATTCAGCACCCTTCTAGCTGCACCCCATGCCTGGTGCTCAGCACCCTCTGCATGGCGCTCAGCACCCATCCAGCTCCATCCCTGACAATGATGCTCAGCGCTCATCCAACTGCATCCCTGAGGATGGCCCACGGTGCTCAGCACCTTCTGGGTGGCATTCAGCACCCTTCTAGCTGCACCCCATGCCTGGTGCTCAGCACCCTCTGCATGGCGCTCAGCACCCATCCAGCTCCATCCCTGACAATGATGCTCAGCGCTCATCCAACTGCATCCCTGAGGATGGCCCACGGTGCTCAGCACCTTCTGGGTGGCATTCAGCACCCTTCTAGCTGCACCCCATGCCTGGTGCTCAGCACCCTCTGCATGGCGCTCAGCACCCATCCAGCTCCATCCCTGACAATGATGCTCAGCGCTCATCCAACTGCATCCCTGAGGATGGCCCACGGTGCTCAGCACCTTCTGGGTGGCATTCAGCACCCTTCTAGCTGCACCCCATGCCTGGTGCTCAGCACCCTCTGCATGGCGCTCAGCACCCATCCAGCTCCATCCCTGACAATGATGCTCAGCGCTCATCCAACTGCATCCCTGAGGATGGCCCACGGTGCTCAGCACCTTCTGGGTGGCATTCAGCACCCTTCTAGCTGCACCCCATGCCTGGTGCTCAGCACCCTCTGCATGGCGCTCAGCACCCATCCAGCAGCACCCTCAGGACGGCACTCAGCACCTTCAGCTCCACCCTGAGGGTGGTCCGTGGTGCTCAGCACCCTCAGGATGGTCCTCAGCACCTTCAGCTCCACCCTGAGGGTGGTCCGTGGTGCTCAGCACCCTTCTAGATGCACCCGCTGCATGGTCCATGGTGCTCAGCATCCCTCGGGATGGTGCTCAGCACCCTTTTAGATGAAACCTGAGGGTGTTCCATGGTTCTCAGCCCCTTCTAGCTCCACCCTGAGGACGGTCCATGGTGCCCAGGACCTTCTGCATGGTACTCAGCACCCATCCAGCTCCATCCCTGACAATGATGCTCAGCGCTCATCCAACTGCATCCCTGAGGATGGCCCACGGTGCTCAGCACCTTCTGGGTGGCATTCAGCACCCTTCTAGCTGCACCCCATGCCTGGTGCTCAGCACCCTCTGCATGGCGCTCAGCACCCATCCAGCTCCATCCCTTTGAAGCCGATGAGCAGAAAGCGGAGGGGGGGAACCCTCCTCCATCTCTGGTAAACATCTAAAGTAGGTCACGGAGTCGGGATTCGGGACGGACGCGTCCTCCTGCATCATCCTCCTCGGGGAGGAAGAACCACGTGACCCTGGACCATCCTTAGGAGACGACGGGTGGCCCAAAGCCGGAGAAGGTGATGACCAAAGGGACGAGGTCAACCCCCCGCCCCTGTCCCCAAGCGTGTCACCGCTCAACACCACACCGTGTGGGGTGTGTGTGTGGGGGGTTAATCCGTAGGGACGGTGGAGATGAGGACACCATCCTTCACCTTAAAGGGATGAAGGCCAGGAAGGATGGTGGCCTGATGTCCCCCGTGTGGTGCCAACATCTCCAGGTTTGGGTTTGGATACTTGGACAACCCCACAAGATGCTTTGGGGGTTGTTTTTTTTTTAACTTGAAGGATTGGAGAGCTGAAGACCCTTTGTGGTGACCTCCAAGAGCTTCTCCTCGAGCTGCTGGAGTAGAGGTAGCAGCTCCCAAGGGGCGTCTTCTCCTGCAGCGATGGAGCTGGAGCTCCTCTGCAATGGAGGCATCTGGCATGGGGGTGTTTGGCCAGATTTCGGTTGGGAGCTGGTTGGGCATCCCTCTCCCCATGGGAGGTGGTGAGTGATGGCCTTTGCATCACTCCTCCTCCATCTCCTTCACCATCTCCTCCTCCTCCTCCTCCTCCTCTTCTCCATCTCCACCTCCACCTCCATCTCCACCTCCATCTCCACCTCCATCTCCATCTCCTCTCCTCCTCCTCTTTCTCCTCCTCCTTCTCCTCCTTCTCTTCTCCATCTCCTCCTCCTCCTTCTCTTCTCCATCTCCTCCTCCTCCTCCACCTCCACCTCCACCTCCATCTCCATCTCCATCTCCATCTATCTCCATCTCCTCCTCCTCCTCCTCTTCCCCATCTCCACCTCCATCTCCATCTCCATCTCCATCTCCATCTCCATCTCCATCTCCATCTCCATCTCCATCTCCATCTCCATCTCCATCTCCATCTCCATCTCCATCTCCATCTCCATCTCCATCTCCATCTCCATCTCCATCTCCATCTCCATCTCCATCTCCATCTCCATCTCCATCTCCATCTCCATCTCCATCTCCATCTCCATCTCCATCTCCATCTCCATCTCCATCTCCATCTCCATCTCCATCTCCATCTCCATCTCCATCTCCATCTCCATCTCCATCTCCATCTCCATCTCCATCTCCATCTCCATCTCCATCTCCATCTCCTCCCCTCCTCCTCTTTCTCCTCCTTCTCCTTCTCCTTCTCTTCTCCATCTCCTCCTCCTCCTCCTCCTTCTCTTCTCCATCTCCTCCTCCTCCTCCACCTCCACCTCCACCTCCATCTCCTCCATCTCCATCTCCTCCATCTCCATCATCTCCACCTCCATCTCCACCTCCATCTCCACCTCCATCTCCA